TCTTGAGTTCACTTAAAAGCTTTATCAAGATCTGCTTGCAAAGACACTGTTGATTTGTAGGAAATCATTTCGTTCATTATTTTAGCGTCATCAGCGTACAGCATAGATATGTTTTTTAAGGTTTCAGGAAAATTGTTAATAAATAGCATGAACAAAAGTGGTCCAATTACAGACCCCTGTGGCACACCGCTGATAATTTCTGCCCAAGAAGATACGTTTTCGCCTAGCACAACTCTTTGTTTTCTATTTTTCAGAAAAGCTTCAATCCATTTAATTGTTAGTCTAGATATTCCATAAGCTGCTAGTTTTAGTAACAGCCTTTTATGGGGTACTGTGTCAAATGCCCTAGCAAAATCCAAAAAAATATCATCAACAGGTTTACCATTTTCTAAACTGGTGGAAATAAAATCTAGTGTATCAAGTAGATTTGTTGTGCATGATTTACTTTTAACAAAACCGTGCTGCCGCTTGACTATGAGTTTATACTCATTCAGAAAATATACCTTCCATTATTTTACAAGCAATTGAGGTGAGTGATATCGGTCGGTAGTTTAGTAGTGGAATAGCAAATGCTGATGCACAGTTTTTTAAAATAGCTGAATGTAAGTTATCAACACCACTTGATTTGTTTTCTTTCAAGTTTTTTAATCTTAAAAAGACATCTTCATATAGCAGCTCTTTTTACCAGATCATATTCAAAGTTTTGTCAAACTTTGAATAACTTTTTTTAACTTTGAATATGATCTGGTAAAAATTCAAACTTTTTTGATCTCATGCTCTATTTTTTTGCATTCAAATTTTAGAACAGAGTCTTTCCATTTACACAAGCAATTTTTGTATCTTAAATTTTGCTTGCTTCTGATAAGAAATTTTAAACTGGCATTTACTCAGACTGGTCTGATTTTTAGAGAGTTGATTGTCATTTTAGTAGGAGTGAAATGATTACATGCCACTTCTGTGTAATAAATAAGTTCATCAAACATTTCCTGAACGTTTTTATTGCTAAAGCATCTTATCCAGTCAACATTTAAAATTAGATCAGATATTGTCAAACTTAGATTTGGCAAACATAAATCTTTGCTTGCTTTTATAGTCACTGACTGCTTTATCAGCTAAGATAAAACCAAAACATATTATTAAATGACCTCTCTTTATATTTCCCAGAACGAACTTTGAGTCTATTAAACTAACACTTGCTGACTGAGTTGTGAAAACTAAACCTAAGGTATTTATAAGTTGATCGTCTGAAAGCTGGAAAGTTGGTATGTTGATATGCTAGTAAAAGAAATTTTCATTTAAATTCTATAAATTTTCATTTAAATTCTATTAATAATTTTTGTTAAATCAGGTTAAATAATTTTTTAACGCGGTTTAAAATAAAAACTTACTTAAAATGCGATACCTTAAAATGCTTTTAAAACATCAATAGTTTCCAGGCTACTGTAACAAATAGGATCTTAATAATTAAAACAAATTAAAAGCAAGGGGTTTTAAAGTATTTGTAAATTGTTTTTAATATTTGTCAATACTTTGTTGTTGTAAAAAAATTCAATTCAAGTGAAAAACCTAATGGCGTATATATCCGAATGTGCTGTATCTGAAAGTAGAAAAGTGAATGTTATCAATGGTGTACAGTATTACTTTTATTTAAGCAATTTATTTCTAATCAACTTCTAGTCCTATAATGAAAAATGGCTGGAATATTTTTATAAAAAATAGCAACTTGCAACTCAAAACTAACAAACTGGTAACTCCTATATATATATATATATATATATATATATATATATATATATATATATATATATATATATATATATATATATATATATATATATATATATATATATATATATATATATATATATATATATATATATATATATATATATATATATATATATATATATATATATATATATATATATTAGGGTGGTTCACATACCATAGCCAAAAAACAAAAGTTATTTCTAATCAAGTGCTCATACTTTTTTGTGTTTCTTTATATCAATGTAGCAAATACATCAAATATTTTTGGGATACTATTATGTTTGTTTATTTAATATTAGCAATTGTTTCCAAATATATTCCAACTAACTTACTTATTTAAAAAAATAGCACAATACATTTATAAATAATAAATATTATATGCAGTGAAACAAATAGTAAATATTAAATATTCAATGTAAATCACGTATTTATAATTTCACAATAAGTTTTTCAAATATTCAATTTATAAGTAAAGTACTAGACATTATTTTCAAAATTACTGAATAATACTGATCCATGTTTATTTACTTACTTTATAAAAGTTAAAAAATAACTATGTCTGTAACACATGCTGTAACAAGTACTGTATTCTTAATTGGTGAGCCACAGGATACATTTGACGGTCGAAGGTTGCCAACGACTCATAAATTTTTAAGAGTTTATTTTCACCATCATAAGAATGAAAAACTGTCACAAAAAGAGCTGTTAAACTTGCAATTCAACAGCTATGTGAAATTTGGGTTAAAGTTAGGGTACCGACAACTGAACTGAGAAATATCATTAGAAAATTTGAGGATTTATTAGACGGTTACCAGAACGTCTGTCGCAATAAAAGTAGAAGAGTTGTTGCACAAATGACCCAAGAAGTAGAATTTGAGCAGTCTATCAATGTGTTGTTTGACATTTCTCACTATAATTGCATGAATTTGATTACAATTGAAAAAGATAAACTGTTTTTTGATCAATCAGCAGTCTGGAAGGAAATATGCCATGGGTGTTGTGGATACCGACTTGTCCAAGAATGATGAGCCAAAGAAGAAGAAAGAAAGAACAGTGCTGCTGAATCTGCAACTTCATCTGGAGCAGGTCTGTTCAGTAGTTCTGAAGCTAAATCATCTCAAGATGAGGCATCTGGAGAAGTACAGGCCAGCTTCAATAAGACTTGATAATGTGCAAAAGTAGCTGCTAAGCATGTTTTAACACCTGAGGTGGATTAGAAAAAGAAGACGGTATCACAATTCTGGTAACAGGTTGTCATACCGAGAAACTTCTTGCCATCCCCAAAATTGGGCAGGGAACAGGAGAACAGGTGGTACAGTCAATATTTGCAACTTTACTGGAGTGGAATCTGATGGAGCATATTGCTGGAATATCATTTGACACAACTGCATCTAACACAGGTTGTTGGATCTTGTGTTTTACTGGAGAAGAAGTTACGCAAAGATCTACTCTGGCTTGCTTGCAGACATCATTTGCTTGAAGTGGTATGTGGAGATGTGTTTAAGACATTATTTGGCCCGACATCTGGTTTAAATGTAGCACTATTTTGTTGTTTTCAGGAATTCTGGCCTCAAATAGACCAAAGTGATTACAAATGTTGCATGGATAATCGTTTAAATGCCAGTCTAAACAACCTCAAGCATGATGTGGTCATTTTCGTAAAGAATGCTCTAGCGTGAACTTCTTGAACTCACATTGACTTTCATGGGATACTGTCCTCCAAGAGGTGTTAGTTTCACAGTTCCTGGTGCATTCCTTCACGTGAGATGGATGTCAAAGTTGCTATACAGTTTGAAAATCTTTCTGTTTTAACATCAATTCAAACTGACAAAGCATGAAAGCAGTGCTTGCCTAGAGTTCAGTTTGTTTGTCACACTGGTTTATATGAAGGCTTGGATGCATACAATGCTCTGAGCAACAATCTGAACTTCATTTTAACTACCATTCAATTAATGATGCAGTAGCCAAGGTGGCTGCTGGTGCAACTGGATGTCATTTATGGTACTTGAGCAAAGAAATGGTACCTCTTAGCCTCTTCTCAGACATGGTGACACTGAACACAAAGCAGAAAATGATGAGTTCACTATGAGAGCACACAGCTGGATAAAAATGAAAATCATTCAGTCAGATATACACAAAAGGAAAACCTCAGCACAAAAACTCTTGATAATTTCATTGGACCTGCATCCTACCTGTTCTTTGCAGCCCTTCAAATTGACACCTCCTTTCTGTCAGAAGATGTAGATAAGTGGCCAGAACTATCGTCATTCATCATTGGAAAGAACACTGCAATTTTCCGCTTGATGTCCTTATATAGAAAAGGACAATTTCTGTAATTAAAAGCATTCAACAGCGTATTACAAAAGTACCGCAAGAAATAAAGCCTTTTAATTATAAATCAAGATGTAACAAACTTGGTCTCCTTTCTCTATGCCAACGAAGAAAACGATTGGACCTTATTAAAAAATTTAAATTAGAGAATTTAACTGAGTTAGATAACTGGTTTATTAATCCAATTAACATTCCCTCCAGCTATGGATGTCACATCCGTTAATATCATAAAATCAACAAAAACTGTCAAGTCAGATATAACTTTTTTAACAATCATGTAATGCATGGAATGCCTTGACATACAATGTAGTAAATACTACTTCAGTGAAAAGGTTCAAAACTAATTTAGACCAGGATCTAAAACAGTTACCATAGCACATCATTTTCTGTGGCTGCTTTAATGCTACTATACAAACTAGCATTATTAGTTAATGATGAACTTACGGTTCATGTATTGTTCTATGTAACTTACTTATAATAATAAATAATAATAATAATAATATAATATACACACACACACACACACACACACACACACACACACACAAACACACACATATATATATACACTGCCGCTCACGGAAGTTAGGACAATGGGGATTTTTTCAAAAAAGCAATATTAATATGTAATTACATTATAGAATTTAAATCAAAAAACATAAATCATGCTAAAAAACTACTAAATAATAGTAAAACTAATAAATCTACTTGATAGGAACAAAAAAAAAAACCTAATTTCCAAAATCAAAAACAAATTAAAGTTTATTTAAACCTGTTGAAAATGAAATAAATTATGAAGAAAAATGTTTGCTTGTTAATCAATACCTTTATCTGAAATGTTTTATATTAATGTTAAATGATTTGTTATCATGATATTAAATGTTATTGTTAATGATTACCTTTATCTTCATAGGTAACCACAAGGTTATCGAAATGCGTATTCTTTGACAGTTCAGAATCCTTGATATGAAAAAATATTATAAACATCATCCTTGGTCAGGAAAGCAATCTCACACTATTCTATGCAAATTATATTTTGCATAGAATAGTGTTAGATGTTAAAAATTATATACAACTTTTATTTTTACTTTAAACAAAAATCATCATTAGTTTGTAAATTTAAAAGTTAAATAAAAGTTTTAATTTTATTTATTTCTAAGTCATAGTTTAAAATCTTTGTTTATTATACCATGGTGTTTATTATTTGGTATTTATTATACCATGCAAATTATATTTTGTTTTGACCATGGTTTTTAACATATCAAAAATGCGCTAAAAAAAGATTTTTAATTATGCCTTAAAAATAAATAAAATTAAAACTTAAAATTAAATAAATTTACAAACTACTGATGATTTTTGTTTAAAGTAAAAATAAAATTTGTATATAATTTTGATTTATATTATATAAATTATATACGTATGCATTTTTTATAATAAATTACTAAAAATAAAAAGTTTGTTTTGATTTTATAAACAGCAACTTTTTTAGACAAGAAATTTTCTTTAAACTTTTAAATTTTTTCAAAGTTATTTTTTTATTAAAGTCTAGATTAGTTTTTCCAGCACATTTTTAAAATGTTCAAACTTTCAAAACATATTAGAGCTGTGGTGTTATAACAGAGCTGTGGTGTTATTACTTGCATAGTCATATATAGGCGATTGCATCTCTTCCTGACCAAGATATATATATATATATATATATATATATATATATATATATATATATATATATATATATATATATATATATATATATATATATATATATATACATATATATATATATATATATATATATATATATATATATATATATATATATATATATATATATATATATATATATATATATATATATATATATATATATATATATATATATATATATATATAAAGAAAAGAAAGAAAGGTCCTCACAGAGAGCAAAAGGGTCAATTTTTGCCCCTTTTTAAGAAAACTTTGCCCCACTTGTGGGACCCTTAAATCTCAACCAATTTAAAAATTGAACTATCTAATAACATATTAATGAGTTCTTCTGCTTAAGTTTTAGGGGCTCTTTTCATAATTATTTATTTAGGTAACTTTAAGAGCGATAAAAAAACATTGAAAATCACCAAAATAATACAATATTTGTTTAAAAACAATAAACGCTAATAAACGCAATAAATTGTTTTTTTTTATAAACAATACAAAATAAGAGTACCAGTTCAAAACAAAAATAAAAAATTTACAATTGTTTTAAAACAAATTAAATCAAAAAATTAATATTAAATAATACTATTTAGTGCAGCCTCGGCATGATCCAACTTTTTTTCTTCCATTTCGATTTCTCTTGTATACATGAGTAAAAAGAAATGTATCTTGTCTTTTCTCTTCGGAATGTATTTTGTTGAACTAACTTGACTGTTCTCTCTGAACAATCATTCACAACATCAAGATTCATAATGGCTGTTTCAAAACCTTGATAAAAATTATTTAAAATCCAATACTCAGGAGGAATCTCAGCTTTTCCATGACCAAGCATGTCATAACACAAGCCATGACTTCTCTGTTGAACTAAACTGGGAGGCTCATCCAGGCCTTGCGATAAAGCATCGGGCGATGTGAATTTTACGTTGTCCAAGAGCGATTTTGCGTGTAGCTAGGGTTATTTGCGTCGAGCAAAAAAATTTTTGTTTGAGTATATTTAAAGATATTTTTGAGCGGAATTTTAATGAAGTAATTTACGATTATTTTAACATTTAATAAAGTATTTTAAAAACCGCACGCAGTTGAAATAAAAGTTTGAATTAAAAAAAATTAAATATGCTCATTATTTACAAGTAGAAAAAATTCAGATTAAAAAAAAAGTTTAAATATTTTAAGGTAACATTTTAATAAAATTATTCAGCAATAGCAAAGTTGTTGATAAAATTGAACAAAAATACTTTCTTTTAGTTTTAGATTTTAAACTTAAATAATTATTTTACGGGGGTTTGTTAGGTTTTAAAATTATTCCATAGATTTAAAAATATTTATTAACTGTTAGACGTATTTAAAGTATTTAAGACTAATTTTGAGGAAACATTTTAAAAATTGGTGAACGCAAATAAAAAAAAAAAAAAGGATTAATATTAAAACGTATTCTACTTGATTCAATAAAAAAAGTGCTGTTATTAAAATTTTTGTAAAAAGTAACTCAAAAAAATTACTTAAATAATAATGATCGCTTTTATGTTAAAAGTTAACGAAACTCAACGAAGCGTGCTCAAGAACAGCTGCTGAAAAATAAAACGTCAATAGTTTTTCGAATAATTTTTAATAATAATTTTTAAGAATAATTTTTTCGCTGAAATATTTCTTTTATACCTATAAAATTTTTATTCTAACATTTTATTTTATTTTACTAGAAATAAAATTCCTTGTTAACATTAAAAATCTATTCAAAACGTTCGTTTAAGTTTTTTATTAATACGAGAATAAAATCAAATATTAGCGTATTTTATAATCTTTTTTAAATTTAAGTTAAAATGTTTTTTATTCGTTTAGTATAGACAAAACGTGACAAACGTCGAGAAAATAAACAAATGTTTTTACATTTTAAAAAACGAAACATTCCAAAACATTTTTAAATAATAACATAAACGATTTAAAGTAGTTTTGCGGTAATTAAGTAAATTGGTGAAGTTAATGTTGATAAATATGAAAAGCAAATAAAAAGAATTTAATGACGTCAAAAATCACGTCGTGCTTATGCGTCGCGCAGTTCTTATTCATCGCAAGGCCTGCTCATCCTGTGAAAAGTTTAGACTCATTAGAGTGTCTTTATCCAACACCTGTCTTTCTAAGGAATATTCTTCTATGGGACCTCGTTTCAGGCTAATAAGTCTCTTAGCCATGTCGCCTTGACATTTCTTATCTGCAATTGCTAAAATGACTAAATATGGATCAAGGTACCAAGTATGTCGTTGTATGGATTTAGAAACAGCTTGACCGCCAGTTTTATTCCACTCCTCGAATCTTTTCATCTGCCATAATGCTTTCATGTCCTAATAGTTAAAGCTTAGATTAATCAATGTTTAACTTATAAAAATAATATACCTATTTTATGCATTTATTTAAAATTATATATTTATTTTCAAACTACTATTCAGATAGTGTACCTGTGTCGGAGCAGCTGAACTTAACTCAGCTCTGAGAAACCACTCCGTGTAAAAAATAGAAAGAAACTTTGTCATTTCTGTGATTTCATCCCTGCTCTCTTCATTGATTTCAGGAATTCTTTTCATGAGTAGAAATAGTTTCAAGTAAAATAAACTTTTACCCATAAATCTGGCATGATGAACAGCTTCAGGATTGTGAAGTTTGAATCTGTCGGTGGGTGATAGTATCATTAAAGTAAGTTCAGCCAATTCTTGATAATCTTTACAATACTTTCCATCCTAAACAA